GGGTTACACACAGAAAGTTTCTATGCCACAGCTGGCCCATGCACTGCACCTTTGGAATGCAGGACGGAATACATACAACATTCTGCAAATCACTTAAAGATAGCACTCAACACCAGCACACGCTCTATAAATTGAGATGAAGCTCCTCTCCCAGCAAAAGCCTCAGGGAGTGGGAAATCCAGCTTTTAGACTAAGCTTTTTAGACTTTAAGCCCCAGGAAAGTCACTGGCCAGAGATAAATTCAAGGAAGGGTCCTTGAATGAATTGTATTTGATATGTCATTCCTTTCTTGCTGGCATCAAAGCACAATACAGCAATCCTTTTCCAGATGCAATGGGCCTCTTCTGTTCAGGTTCGTCCCACGCCAGTCTCAGAGGAACTAGAGGTGGTCACAGGTAAAGATTTGCCCTTTCTCCTTATTAAGTCCTTCTGACCCTCCCAGTTCACTGGTCTGCGGAATCATAATAAATGAAATAATAATGAAGACACACAAGAATTTTGGGGATTGAGGTAGCTGCTGAAAGCTCAGTCATCTAGCTCTAAATAAGTAGCAGCACTATGAGGTACATCTCCCAAAAATCCAAAACTAGAAAATGAACATTTATACCCCCCTCTAAGCTATGTGCACACCCTGACAATGGCCATGCAAGGAAGACTAAATTTATGCCGAGTAAGCTGGTATTCTAGCCAAACCACTCTCAGCCGCCTGGGGAACAGCAGAGCTGTGGCCCAAAAATGTTATAGTTATGTCAGCATGTTGTTTTGACCAACGACACATGGTGCTTCATCTCTTAGAAAAGCCATCTCATCTCTCAGCAGCCTTAGTTGCTGCAATGTAAGATGTTGTACTATATCACTTTCTATTCTGGCAGTAGCTTTGACACTAACTGTATCTGCACCACACCACTGCTCAGAGCAAGTACGTGTTGAAAGTACGCTTATTGTGGTGCTTGTGGACTTTTGCAAGGGAGGTTCTTCAGCTGCACCTCCCAAATCTCATGCAGCCATGGCCGGATGATAGTGCAGGCCTCCATCCACACTCCAGTTATACCAGCTTTGTTAGATGGATAATTTTATCTTACCTTTGGGTCCTGGAGGTCCAGGGAACCCTATACCTGGCTGCCCAACAGCACCTTTCTCTCCTGGCAGGCCCGGTCTACCTGGAAGCCCAGGATTCCCTTTGTCACCTTTGCAAGTGAAAACAAGACAAATATTAATACAAAGGTTAGCTTCTGGGGAATAAAGCCATTATGATCATCAGACAAAGATTAACAGGCTATTATACCTTGGGGTCCAGGGAAACCAGGTGGCCCAGGAAGGCCATCCGCCCCAGGAGGTCCGGGGAGTGGTACGGTTCGCCCTGCTTCGCCCTTCGCTCCTGTGAATGTACACATGTAGTAAGTACAGGAAACAATGAAATTAAACAAGGGAGTTTCACCTAGCCAGCAATATTACTCCATCCATACCATTACAACTGACTTGTTATAAAGATTTTTTGTAGAAGATTCATAGAAAACTAGGATGAACTCAGTTTAGGATGAACCTAAACCACCCCGTTTACCTAACAAACTCTTCAAGAAAACTGCCCTCAGAGATTTGCAATTATACTGCTGAAAGCAAACAGTGATTTAAATTAGAAATTCTTTTTACTTCAATCTTAAATTCAGGTGATCCTCTAAGTTGTACCTTTTAAAGGGCACAATTTTTTTTTTTTTTTTTTAAGCATACTGTAGCATTACCTGGAAGGCCTGGTAAACCTGGGGTTCCAGCAAAGCCTCTGTCTCCTTTGTCACCAGGTAAACCTGCAGTGCCTATCCCAGGAGGGCCAGGAAAACCTCTTTCACCACGTACTCCAGGGAATCCAGGTTGGCCAGGGGGACCACGTTCTCCTTTCAAGCCAGCTGTACCCTAATTTTTGGAAAGTATAAGTGTACTTCTTGCCCGACTGGCAAGACAGAACATGTCATCCTCTCTCTCTGAATATTTTGTAACTTGGATTTAGCACAGGTATCTGTAATGCTGAAGAAACTGCATTTTTTGTGACTGAGTTCAGTGGAAATAGAACTGGGTTACACATAGAGTAGCACATGGAAATCACACCTAGTGTGCAATGCAGCTGTATTGGGTTTTTGTGGCAAGGTTTTGGTAGCGGGGGCTGCAGGGGTGGCTTCTGCGAGAAGCTGCTAGAAGCTTCCCTTTTGTCTGATTGATAGAGCCAACACCAGCCGGTGACAGATCCACCGCTGGCCAAGGCCGAGCCCATCAGCAATGGTGGTAGTGCCTCTGGGGTAATAGAGTTAAGAAGGGGGGAAAAAAAGGGCACGTAGCATTTTCAGCCAGAGAGAGGAGTGAGAATGTGAAAACAGCCCTGCAGACCGCCAGGTCAGAGCAGCAGGAGGGGCAGGAGGGGCTCCACCGGGGGAAGCCCATGATGGGGCTGGCTGTGCCCCGGCAGCCATGGAGCTCCACACTGGAGCAATCTCCACCTGCACCCAGGGAGGGCCCCACACCGGAGCAGGGGGATGCCCGAAGGAGGCTGTGACCCCATGGGGAGCCCACGCTGGAGCAGGCTGCTGGCAGGGCCTGTGGCCCCGTGGGGAGAGGAGCCCAGGCTGGAGCAGGGTTGCTGGCAGGACTTGTGGCCCCGTGGGGGACCCAGGCTGGAGCAGCCTGTTCCTGAAGGACGGCACCCCGGGGAAGGGACCCAGGCTGGAGCAGCCTGTTGCTGAAGGACGGCACCCGTGGGGGGACCCAAGCTGGAGCAGTTTGGGAAGAACTGCAGCCCATGGGAAGGGCTCATGTTGGAGAAGTTCATGGAGGACTGTCTCCCGTGGGAGGGACCCCACGCTGGAGCAGGGGCAGGGTGTGAGTCATTCCCCTGAGGAGGAAGGAGCAGCAGAAAACAACATGTGATGAACTGACCACAATCCCCACTCCCCGTCCCCCTGCACTGCTCGGGAGAGAGGTGGTAGAGAAGATGGGAGCAAAGTTGAGCCCAGGAAGAAGGGAGGGATAGGGGGAAGGTGTTTTAAGATTTGGTGTTATTTCTCATTATGCTACTCTGATTCTGATTGGCAAAAATTAAACTGATTTCCCCAAGTTGAGCCTGTTTCGCCTGTGACAATAACTGCTAAATGATCTCTCCCTGTCCTTATCTCAACCCATAAGCTTCTAGTTATATTTTGTCTCCCCTGTCCAGCTCAGGAGGGGAGTGACAGAGCAGCTTTGGTGGGCACCTGGCATCTAGCTAAGGTCAACACACCACCACAGCAGCTAACTGGACCATGTAGGCTATGTTCCCAGTGGTGGATCTGGGAGCAGATGTGAACTTCATATTCAGCTCCACGGGGTATCAGCTGAACTCTCTATCAGTGGAAGACTTTGAAGCATTAGTTTCCTCAAGAAGAGAAGTATGCTAGAACAGAGTTAACTCTTATCTTAACAATCTCTACTTGGATAACTGCATTCCATCAATCATCTCCAGATATCAGCTAAATCATCCATGCTTGTTCTCACTATCAAGCTGTGAGAAAGGAAGAAAGGAACAAAGCTTTGTCCATGCCCACAACTTTGTGGGAGTAGTAACCTTGTGCTCTATAGTCCTGAAAGTAACAAGCCATGCTGAATACATCGAGTCAGATCACTTATTTGCAAGACATGTAAAAGAAAGAGTCAAAATCTAACTCTGAAATAGTCTGTTGTTGAAGGACTGCCTTCCTCAGTAGTTCCAGGGTAAATGGAGTCTTCCTCCTGAGAATAATGAACTACTCAAGGTAAGGACAAGATATGGAACAATGAATGAGGCTAATAAACATAAAGCATGAGGTCAATAAACATAAAGCATGTATAGGGCATAAAAGCATGTGAATTCTGATCTGAAAGACAGAATGTATAGGACAGTATGTGAACATAAATAAACACACAGCAGGACAATATGTAAACATAAAGAAACACACGTACCGATGCTCCTTTCGGACCCTGGGGACCTGGCAATCCATCTTTTCCGGGTCTCCCTTCTCTTCCAGGAGTACCCGGTTGTCCTGGGAAACCAGGATCTCCCTTTTCACCTTTCAGGATAGAATCATAAGAAAAATCTCCTGGTTCTCCTTTTGCCCCAGGGCTGCCCATAAGTCCTGGAGTGCCGGGGGGCCCCTGAAATTTCATAAATTCAGATGTCATCAGTTGCCTTACCAAACCTTCAACTGATAAAAAAGAAAACAAATATTCGAAATTAAAGAGTAGACCCAAATCAAGTAAACCATTAAGTTTTTGACTGAGGAGGTCAAATGAGAGTATTTTCCAGTGCGACTTTCCAGCAGTGCGAATAATGAATTAACACAAAACTTCTTGTCCATTGTCATTTATCATATCACAGGTATATAATTTTAGATGGTGCATATAAACTTACACCACTTACACAAGAACTGCAAAAAAAAGAACACCAAAAAAATACTTGGAATTTTCAATAGACTACCCACTGGATTTCAGTTATGCATATTCATACAATATCAGCATCAAGGTAAACAAGGTTTTTTAAAAAGGCAATTTCAGAGTTAAAGTGTCTGCCTCAACCTTTAAATGCTGAATTGTGTAACACTGTGGAACCTACTTCCCTGACGCAAATGGAACAGAAGTATCTCTACATTTCCACAGTAATTTACAATACCAGCAGAAGTAGTACTAACAGAGGAAAATAACACACTTCCAGTATGCAAAGACGAACTCAGCCAAACTTACAAGTTTAAATTGCTTATACAAGCCCCACCCATGATTTTCTTCCTTTAAAAACCCTTTTAAATCAGCTATAATATTAATCAAACATATAGATTGTCTATGAAATTGAATCAATTTTCTTATACAAAACTCAAATGTTATTTGCACAAGTGCTAAGGCTAACTGAAGGCTGAAATCTTCTCCCTGGGTAGTTTATTTATGACATTTAGCTGATGCAAATACATGTTTCCCTTGTTAGTAACGTACATTGATTTTTGTACAATTAATAATCACAGTTGGTCAGTACTATCAGAATACTACGCACGTGCTCAGAAAAGAGTTTTGTCAACTCTCCTGGGAAGAAATTATCTACCTGATAATGTACCTATAGGATTTCCGGAATTGTAATTTTTCCATACAAGGGCTTATATGAACTTTTCTCATAGGAACAGTCTCTCTAATTTCAAGTGAATCAGAGCTACTCACTAGGGTAGTAAAGTACAAACTTCATGGGCAATGTCCATTGCTTATGGCTGATGTGTGCCCTCCACTTAAACCTGAACCAGAACATGGTCAAAGGTACTAGCTTTGGTGGGTCCTGGATCAGACTCTGATGCTTTGGCATGGCTCTAGACGATGTGAGCTTGCAAGGCTGGCCTCTATGTAGTTTTTCCAAGCGAAACTATATGCTGGATCACCACCTGGCTGAACTTTGTGCAGCAAAACAAGCTTAAAAGCATTCAGAACAGCAGCTAGTCCTTGTCTGATGAAAGATATGAACAGAACTTACTTAAGAGGCAATAAAAGGAAAATATAAAGGTGTGGCAAATATGTGCTGAGAACAAATGCCAGACGTGAAAAATGCTTAAGTACATTAGGATGTCTTTTATTTTTCTTCATTGTTTCTTTCATGGATCCCATTGATATTATAGTAAATTCAGTCACTGAGTAATACCATCTTATTTATCATGGTGGAAACAGAGAATGGACTCCATCCTAGCTAACTTTCATTAGCTGAATTCAGGCATCTAGGCTTTATTTATACTCAAGGGAGAGAAACAGATCCTTGAGTATGGAATTCATACAGGTGGGTTGATTTAACTTCTGTAGGTGCCTTTCTCTCACCACTGGTGATAGAGGGAGCTTGTGTAACTCCAGTGGGTGTTAAAGCTAGTGCACATGAATGTCACTGAGAAGTTACGTTGCCAGAAGTGATCAGCTGGAAGGAGAAAGCAGCTTTGGGAAAAAAAGTCTGGGAAAGACTCTGACAGACTCAGTCTACTTACATCAGGAATGGTGTCAAAATCCACGTTATACTACAGGAACGTGGATGCTAAGGTAGGTCTTGACTGCATACCACAGTGTACGTAGGGACTCAAGTGAATTCTGACAAGATCAAATGTAGTTGTGCTAGTACAGCGCTCATCTAGGAGTAATTTGCGTTACGTTTTAGACAAGTGCTATGCTTATGGCTGTTCTGCTTCTGATATCCAGCCTTACACACTGAGAGTCGTGTTGCACTGTGTCAACATAATTTGCAAGTGATCATATTATCAGGATACTATCCACTTTCACAGCCTTCCTTTATTTCTTCAAAACTACTTAGCTTTCCTCCTAATTAACTATGTTTTATGGAATATATTGCACACATTTCCCAAAATTCAGACAAACTGCCAAAGTATATTGCATGCTAATATTAGATTGCTTACACTACACTAGATGGCACTGTCTCTCTCTCAATCTGTATGTACACAACAAGCAGAGTTATTGGAACAATTCACGAGAAGGACAGGGCAGACCTGTAACTGCTTCCTGTGAAATCCTACTTTCTACCCAACTCCACTGTTTATCTTGCTCAGCGAGAAGGTCATGTGTCTTGCTGCGTTCATATGATGGGCAAACACAGAAATACTACCCACTTATGACAGCTCTTTTTTTCTTCCATAACTCAACCACACTGCTTCCTAGATTATTTTGCCAGTTCCTTAATTTTATCATATCACTGTGCTGGTCTATTAGACAACCACACTGATGATCACATGCCTCATAGGACACATAGAATTTAGCAAGGCATTACTTACAGGTACCCCTGGAAGGCCATCAAGTCCAGGTAAGCCTCTGTCACCCTTGAAACCTGACTGGCCTGGAAAACCTTTTCAGAGAGACAAAAACACAACTCTATTTATTACAAGCTTTTACAAATAGCTCATTGTATGTGAATTCTCTGTGATCCTTCTCAAAGTGTCTCATTACGTCCCCAGTTATATCAACAAAATGCTGCTAAAGTCAGTGAAGTTGTCTGGACTCATGTACTGTATGTGTCTGCATTCATAAACTCAGAAGCTGATGGTTCATTTGACTTAGGAATGAATTCACCTTACTATTTAGACCTATCATGTAACCACTGCAGTCTTGAAACTACCTAAACCATATTAATTTTTCTTAACAGCCACTAGAACAAACATTAGGTATAATTATCACTGTTTGCATGTGGCACTTCTCTCATATGGTAGCAGAAAAATAATTATTTTTTTTGGTCACAGAATTTAATGCTAGGATTGTGAATATATATGGGCCACCGCCACACCTGGGCACGTAGGGCAAATGCTTCCCACATTATTTTTCACTTTCACAATCTTCTGTGAGAATATCTGGGCCACAGTTTGCAAAGACCCTCCACTGTGGCGAATTTCTGCTTCCTTGGTAATTCTTGTTGATTGCATTGGAAATTTGGAATCAGGCCAAAACCAGGAATATTCCATCCTCCTTTCATTAGTTTCACAAACAATTTGATTAGTGAGACAAAAAGTAATTAGTTTTATCATATATGCTGCTACACAGTTAATTCTCAGGTAGTCAATGAGTTTTTTTACCTGCTGGACCTGGCGGCCCTTGTGGTCCTGGAAGTCCAGGAGGTCCTACTTTATCACACAAGGCACAGGATTCACCTTTGTCACCTGAAAAAAACAAACAACAAAACCAATGAATAACAATGAAAAGATTTAAGACAACTGCAAGCAGGTGGATGCAGGGGCAAATGTCAATTTAATACACTTCACGTTGAAAGAATAAAAATAAATGTGCCACTTCTAATTACATGCTTCAAAGAGAATTTATGAGCAAATTGGTATTTGAATTTCTTTAAAATCTTTAAAGGAACGGCATGAAAATCAACTTAAGTCTTATCCTAGAGATAATATTTAACAGATCACTTAAAAGGGACTGGGCTGAGAGGAAGAAAAGAAATATACACAGGGTATAGAAGGAATAAAAAGATTAAAGCAGAAAACTGAGAACCTCTATAGTTACTGTAATTTTGCAGTTTTAGAAAAGCAGTGAGCAGAATGAGATTAGGAAGGATCAGCCATCATGTAAATGAGTGCAGCTCATTTTTTTATATGTCCATTTAGTCAATGCTGCTAAAACACATGGTTGACAGTCCTATTTATAGATGTTACAATTTTAGCTTCAATTATACTCATGGCAATGATTCATAAACGATTTCAATTCCCATCTCATCTGCTCCTCTCTAATTCATCTCAGAATTCACATCTTAAATTGCCATGAACAGTTCAATCTACACTTAATGGGGCTATACTCAAACCTTTCTTTCTTCCCAGTTCCCCTTTCAGGTCTGCACCATCCTTTATCACTTTCCAGCAATGTGTAGGCTAAGTTTTAAAGTGAAAGGGTGTAGGCTAAGTTTTAAGTGAAGTTTGTGTCACACAACTCAATGCACAATATCCTTCTTTTACTCACCAGAGACTCAAGGAACATCTTCCATGTCCATGAACTACTTGTTTAACTAACTTTAGGTACACTTTCTCTGGAGTCAGCCTAACTTGCTCAGCTTCTTTACACACACAAGCTCCAGGGTACAGAGCATTAGAAAGCGATCACTTTAAGTAATATTACCTTTCTCTCCCATCTCTCCTGGAAATCCATCTCTTCCTGGAGGTCCAGGACTACCTGGTGCACCAGGTTCTCCCTGCTGGCATTGATCAATTCCATCTGCAATGGAAATGCAATAAAGAATATTGTTTGACAAGTGCAAGTTTCCATTCTACGCTTACATTTATGAATGTCCCAACTGAACGTATCTGTGAATAGTGGTAAGTCAGGATAGCATTTTTTTTTTAATTTGTTTTACTTTGAAAAATTTAACTGGGATTCTGTGTTCTGATTCCACATATACTCCTTAAGAAACCCCAAGAATTACACAGTAAAGACAGGCTCTGCCTTAATAAGGTTACAAACAACTTTCACATAAAATATTTTTATTTTTATTGTCAGCTTTGGCTAAGAAAAGTGCTATGGGTGAAAAATTGCTGGTTTGACCCTGAAGAGAATGGAGAATATTGACGTTCTGGAGAAATTCATTATTGAGTTCTTTGTACCCTGACTTTTGTTTTCAATGTTTTAGGAAACTTTCTAGGTCAAGAGCAGCTTGTTAACATCTAGTTAACTTCTTCACACTGATCAAGCTTCCTGAAAACAAGAAACTTCTTATGTTAGGAACTCAAATAGGTAACAAATGAGAATACTTAGCAGGCTTGATATGGGAATACAAATTGGGTTTGTTCTGTTTGATGATATGGCACAGATTCTGACCCAATACAATATGACATCATCTTGGCCAAAGCCAGTAATCAAAATGTTAATGTGACGTTTGGCAAACAACAGTTAAATGAAAACAAATTGTTTTCCATTATGCACTAGAAGAAAGTTAAATAAGTGTCTGGAGAAGGAGGACAATTAAGCAGTGACAGAAACATGTTGTGTGAAAAACAGGAATTGCTCTTATTTTTAGGGCAAGGTAAGATTTAGCTATTTAATTCCATATTCTAGGTGTTGGATTTTGTACTGCTTCATTGGCAAACACAGCAACAACTAGGCACCTTCAGTTGTTTTTTAACCAAGTATTTTTGTTTAGGAATTCAATAGACAATAATGTTCTTTTCAATAGTTTTAGGCTACCTAAACTACTGTATTAGGAATATCATTCTTTATGTTGAAATGACAATTCAACTCACAATATCAGTATCACCTATAGTAAAAGTTTTCCTTCCTTTCCTTTAACTCCTTGACTTAAAACATCAGTTGTAAGCAGCTATTAAGTATGGACCATTTTCATAGGTAATTTTTTCATTACTTTGTTGCTGAGCAAAACGAATATGTTTCTCTCTTTAAAAATGTTTAATCAGAATCTAATTATATGTAGCTGTATAATTTTGTTATCATTACTACTAATATTATTATTATGTATTTGTCACATCACTACCAGCTTTTCATTTACCTCTGTAAAGCAAGTGTTGACCCCATTCTCCTGTAAGATAATTTCATTTTACAATAAAAACTTCTAGCAGACTAGTATCATGGTCAGCAGTTCTTACACCTGTTACATAGGTTGGTACTGCAGACTTGTAAATTGTGATCATGAACAGCTATCTTTTATGCCAACGGTATTAGCATCTGTTATTTTTTAATTGCAAATCTATAAATAGCTATAAATTGGCATATTAGGACACAGAGGAAACCAATATGTATTAAGGTCAATGATGTGATTATATTGTAACAGTCCACAATGTACTTCTGAACAATGTTTCAAAAACATTTAGCAAAGAATCCTTGTCCCAGTAAGGAAACAAGTGGCTTGCTGCATCTCGGAATAGCTTTTACTTGGTTCATTAACAAGTGAGATGTATTTCTTCCACGATGTAGATGCATTCTGTTTATAACTTTTATAATCTTGTCTCCTTATCCTTTTTTATGTGCATGCAATGTGCACTGAGTCTTCACTGTGAAAAGCAACCCAGTGCTTTACCTACCTGTTTTGCCTGGAGGACCTGGTGGGCCAGGCAACCCCGGGGGACCCGGGAAACCATCTCTTCCAGGAGGTCCGGGTAACGGGAATCCTGGAGAACCCTTTTCACCTTTTTCACCTCTCTCTCCAGGGACACCAGGTGATCCTATTCTGTCTGGAAGCGGTCGACCTTTGGACAGAGTAAAACATACATGAAAAAAGTTACAAGCAGAAAGACAGTAATTTTATCAACAAGGTAGCTTCCCTTAGGTTTCACAGAGAAACAGAAAAATGTTAGTGCAAAATAAAAAGGAACTGTAGTTTTACTATTGGTGATTTATACAAAATTGAGTTTACATACGCACTACAGCTCAGAATAACTCACTTTGGCTAGGTTCCTAGACAAACACTCATTCTGTATTAACTGCCTTTCTGAGATTTAGTTTAATCAACTTTTGCTGGGTACAAAAAAGTGGCAACACGGGAGTTAATGTAGCTATTGCACTTAGAAACTATTACACTCCTCCTTATCTCATAATAAACCAAATTTTAAACACACCTAGAAAGGGCCAGCATCTCTAAGAACTTCAGTAAATAAGCATTCAACAAAGCTAGCAGATTTCAGGAATGCTAAAACCAAAACTATTTGTAGGAATAATAAGCAAACAACAGCCAATAAAGAGAACCAGTTAAACAGCCAGAAGAAACTACTTAAGATCTCCTTTTAGCTGTTTGTATGGTCACACACATCTTCATACTTTAATAAATTATTTCAGTTCACAACTAATCACTAGATGTGATCACTAAACCATTTTGAGCCTTCTGCAACATACAGGGAGATATGAAAGTCACACAAATCTCAATTTCTGTAAGGTAATGACAAACTAAGAGCTACTATTTTTTTTGTCTTGTCACACAGAATTCTTTAGGGACTATTACAGCCTGCAGTATATAGTATCTCCTCCCTAAACTGTGAAAAATTTCCTGGAAACTATCTGACCCCAGCTCACATTAATTTCATATTTAGCTCACTGTCAAGAGAGAAAATGAGAGCAAAGGAGGTGATAGTAGTATCACTGCAGGATGTGCTAGAGTCAGGTTTCCACAAACTATTTGCTTAATTTTTAAAAAGCAAATATTATGGTTTAGTTCATGCATATGTACATATATACATAATAGCAGTGCTGTCATGGATGTGAAGGTGTTAAGACTATGAAAAAGGCAACATTTGCAGGCAAAAGAAATAATTTCTATTAGATCAAGTGACCTAGTAAAATAAAAGCAGGAAGTCTTCAGGAATTGATCCAAATAAACGTTATTATGTCTCCCTACAAACCTTATTTTATTATATTTACGCAAACACATACAGAGCTCAAGTGAGAGCAAAACAAACTACCTACATATGAGTATCCATACATAACTACATATGCATATACCCATGCATATATTCACATTTTACATCTCTTCTTGCCCAACGGAACCATACTCTCTGGGCTATCTCTGACAACCTGTGCACACTACTTCTGCAGTTTAAGCAGAAAGTTATCAGACACACAAAGAGCAAGGCTGGATCACATCAGAGACACGAGAAAAGCGATCTACAGGAAGGGTCTAGGGGGATGACTAGACTCCCGGAGAAGCCATTGCCTGGGTGTTCTGTAAGTCAGGCAGTAACTGGCAGCAGCTAAGGAGAACATCTCTCAGGACTCTTCACCCAAGAAGAACACAGGAAAAATGTTAACAAAATCAGTGACCATAAATGCATACCTGGAGGTCCTGGGATTCCTTGTATACCAGGGAAACCTTTAGGAAGAGAGGTATTCAATTAGGCAGTGAAGTCAGCAATGGCAATGTCAGTGAATGTTTAGCACATATTATTTAATACACATTACAAGCTAGTGTGTCCTGAATCAAATGTTAAGTTAAATAATCTATAGATATCTGCAAACAATATATTTACAGAAAAGGCCCTGCTGTGTGTCATCTTCTCCAATGATCTTTCTTCAATAGGTAAGGTCTATAATGGGAAAAATGGGAAAGGGAATGTGGTCTATAATGGGAAAAATGGGAAAGGGAATGCTTGATTTTCCCTGTTTACTGAAGAATTTTGTAAATTATGCAAGCCAATTTTATGATTAAAATTTAGCTACTGACTTTTTTAAAGGAGTCTCAAGATTCTCTGCATTATTATCGTTCTTAGGCTTGTGTTGATTTCCATCTTTCTTAAATAATCTCACTGGATTATTTAACTGCCATAAAGACAGGTCCCAGTTGATGTTTTTCCAGTCTATAACTGAAAGGCAGTCTTCTTATGATGATAAGAAGCATCCTACAATCTACAACAAAATGTAATAACCTGAAAGCAATTAAATAACTGGACATTTCACTGTCATATAGAGCTCCTGACCTCACAGATAGTGCAATTTAATTTCCTTTAATAAGAAAACTAAAAGCATGACTCCATCAAAAAGACAAGACAAAATACATACCTTTTTCACCTTTTTGACCCTTCAGTCCAGGCAAACCTGAAACTCCAGGCTCTCCTTTTTCACCAAAGCTATCTACTGGTCCAGGATCTATAACCTGAATCACAGGACAAAGACTAGGACACCAGAAACATAGAAAGTGCCCTCAAGTGTGTCTCCCCCATCCTGACCTGATAGTACAGAGGACATTTTGTTTTGTGAAAACAATTTTGAGCAGCTTTGGTTATACTTGCAATTTCAGTGATACTTAACAACTGCTGTGAGAGGGTTGTAGCTGGTAAGGAATTACCAGAGAAAATAAGTATTTCCTTTTCTATCAAAATTCCTTCATATCAATAGTAGGATTAAGTGGAGAGCTTTATAGCACTTTTCTGAACAAGAATGATACCAAAAAACATCATCATGGTCTAAGCACTGACCTATTAGGTTTGTATTACCTTTAAAATATTCTGTTCTAGCAATTTCTGCTAACATGTATCTGAACCTGACATATAGGATATTAACATTTGAAATAAAATACTTAGGAAGTATGCACCATTTTTAAAATCAAATTAGCAGATGTTGGGAATTTCCCCCCTTGTTGGGGAAGCAGCACCATCAATGATCTATTTGTTGCCGACTAATTCCATTTTTTATTTGAAGTGTTAAAAAAATTATACACTGCAAAGCTGACAGATCTACTCTTTTGAATTTTGGATACTTTGTGTTGTTTAACAATGCCTATCATTTTCATAGTCCAAAACATTTGAAATTTATATTCTTTGAGAGCTCCTTTCCCAAATTTCAAACATACTTAAAAGAACTGTATCCAACTTTTGTTTCCATTAAGAAAAAATACGGACATGACTGATTAGAATGAGATCAGAACATGCACAGTTTTTCTTTTTTTCCTCATTGTTTGAGCATTTTGACTTTCACAAAATTTATATTTTCATTTAAGTTTAAAAAAAAAAAAATTTGTTTTACTTACTCTTCCTGGAGGTCCTGGAAAACCTTGTTCACCTTTGTCACCCTAAATCAAAATATAATTTAAAGTCCAGTTCAGATTTTCTTCCCCACAAAATAGTATTTCCATATCAAATGAACACTTCGATACAGATTCATGCAACTTCCAAATGTTATGTACCTGAACCATTATAATAAGCAGTAAGTAGCTAGTTTGCAGGCCTGTACTGCTTTACACTATCTAAAGAGAAACTGGGATTTTTAGGAAAGTACATTTGTGCATATGCTGGCTGGGCAAAGAGCGTGTGAAAATAAAGCCTGCATTAATTAATTCGTATAAGATCTAAAGCAGGGATACATAAGCTACCTTAATTTTGACTTTTACTAGTCTTTGAGTGATGACTTGACAAATCAGTAACATTCATTTAATATTGCTTTATGTACATTTATGTTTTAATGCACATCTATGAACACACCATACAACCTCTTAACTCCTCATTCTGTGTGACGGGAAGCAAAGGCTGCTACTACGCACCTTCACACCAGGCTCCCCAGGTCGTCCTGGAATCCCAAACCCACCAGGCAAACCCTGTGCGTAGAAGACAGCAAAACCAGACAAGACGAATATAGTTGCATCCTAGCTCTGGCAGCATCAAAGTTTTAAATTTTCAAATCAGTCACTAATTCATGAAAAGCAACAACCTTAAGTAAACAACTCAGAAGAAATTGAATTTTCAACCATTTATAATAGCAAATTTCAACCATTTATAATACACAGACAGTTGAATGCACAGACAGTTTTGAATGTAAGAAACAGTACTGGAAATTCAGCAAAATACATACGGGTTCTCCTTTTAGTCCTGGTTCACCATCTTTTCCAGGTTTTCCCTGTAAAACACCAAGTTCCATTCTGTTTAAACAGATGGCCACACACATGCTATTTTTAAATACAGTAGGTGAAATACTAGAACAAAACAATCACTATTGCTATGCAGTAACAGAAGCATGCTAACACAGCTAACAGCACAGAGGGTACAAAGCAGGCAAATTGTAACTGCCTACTGCTTATGTCACTCAACATCCTACAAACTGCAGAATTAAATAAAATCCTGCAAATCTGTTCCCAGATCCAGGAATAACATACGGATTTCCCAGTCAAGGAGGCTTCAAGACAAAATATATCAACAGCACAGGAAACTGGAACCAGACCCAGAAACTCTCCTTCATAGCAATCCCTTTCCATATATATATACTCTCCAGCCTCACAAAACCTTAATTCACAGACATTCAGTGGCTCAGCTTCAGCAGAAGGCGTGGAGAGTGGCCCCGTATCAGATCACGTGGAAATCCAGTGGTATAAAACACTGCCTCTAAATTGAAAGCTGTAACTTCAAATCACAAGGCAGATGATAACCTAGAATCCAAGACTCCCTCCTCCAGGGCAACATGATTCACCATTAGACCACTGTGTAGATTCCCTTGAGGTAATCAACAGATACGAGATAAATCATCTAGATGGACTAACCTACTTTTCAGCATTCCCTTCCTCTTCCTAATGGACTAGGAAGGGACTGGCACCTAGGCTTGCAGCCTAATCCACTGGAGGCTGACTTTTAGTTGGTGTCACAATGCTTAGATTGTATGTGTATCATGAGCAATATGAATATGTCCCATGAAACCAAGAAAATCTATATACTTAATACACAAAGTAAGAGTGCATGCAATCCAGTCTAAAAAATGATCCCGTAAGTTTTATGTCAAAAAATTCCATGTAAAACAATGCAATGAAAGGATAAAAATGATACAACGAACATGAGGAGGCCACCACCACTGAAGTGTGTAGCTATGGTATTTTATAAAGAAAGGTTATGGGTAATTTTTAATTATTAATTAAAAATATCATCTGTAAAGTCAGGAGAGTCTTCAAATGTGTACTGTGATTGGAATTCATCATACAGTTTCATTCCATGAAACTAGAATATCAGAGCTTAACATCTGTTCATCTTTCAAGCCTTATCTTAACTTCAGAAGTAGCTGTGATTTCCTTCAACAGGAACAATTATGCATAAAATAGCCTAGAAACTTTGTTCAGGGAACTCTGCAGAAACTGAAAGCCGTATTTTTGAACAATTCAAAGATGCTCTGGTTTCCTCAACAAGTTCTAGGCCAACATTTCTCCATCCTTCCAGCTTTCAAGAACTCATTTACTGTACGAGTAAAGACACATACATGATAGCAAGGATAATCCCATCGCGTATCTTTACTGAATGGATGACAGAACATTTGACCTTGAAATATATTAGAGAGGGAGATTTTCTCTTTTTCAAATTGAAGTACAATTCAATGCCTATAGATGTGCTGGGTTGTTTTCTAACAGTTTATGAAGATCCACAATTTGAGAAACAGCACTAGACACATTTTCATGTAGAAGATGTATGGGTTTGCTACCAGATCAGCTATGAAAGATATAGCATGACTCATGCAGAAGTTGTATGGATGGGACTATGATATAGGTCTGACTAGGCAAATGTAACAGACTTTATGGCCTCAGGCATCTACAGTCAGGCTAGAAACCAGCAAGCGAACGTAACTCAGTCATCCAAATTTTTTCCTCTGTTCCTCTTCTTTGTAAGAAATTTGTGTTTCTTCTTTAAGAAACACAGGCTTATTTTGTAGATTGCACATAAGAGTATTTGAAATAAATTCAAGATGTTCCATTTAGCTAAAGTCATTCCTACACAGTGATTTGTTTTGCTTTGCTTTTCCTTGTGTTCTGGAATGACTTAATCTTGCTTCAGTGGGGATCAATGGGATTCTCACCTTTGCCTTCAGTGCTGCAAGCTACTGTTAGGTGTCTTTAGTTATCTGAAGCATGTTACAAACTAACAGTACTGTATGTTATTACTACCTTGACTTCTACACCCGTCCTACAGCAAAACTTGCTTGTTTGAAATACACCAAATTTGCTGTTTCACTCATGGTTACTAAGTTTGATTAGTTTATGGAAACAATGCAACAACTGTAATTATGGGATTGATAAAATTGAGCATACTTACACGTGGACCAGGCTTCCCAGGTTCACCCTTTTCTCCTTTGAAACCTGAACCCGGCAATCCCTGGAAAATACACACCAGATTAATAATACTGCCAAATTCTAACATAAATTTGCTTGTATCAAATAGCTATAAAGATATTCGGGGCCATTATTATAGTCTTCACAAATTTCATAGCAATTTTAAAAAATTCTACACAATACTCACTGGGGCTCCCTGTTGACCCTTTTCACCTGGATCACCCTAATGAAATTATAAAAAAAAAAGTAGATTATTAAGCAAAATCTTAACCATTATTCATTTACGTTGTAAATCATTTAATCTTCATGTCAGAAAAAGCACATTTAACCCTGTTCTCCGCTTCAAAAACTATGCCTAATAGTATGATGTGCAAGAAGAAGTTAGACAAACACAAAATGTGAATCCATTAAGCTAGTTTATAATGGTAGTGTATATTGCTTAGACTGACTAATTCAATAATTGAAAAATTCATTAGCATTCAGATTCCATTAATGTGATTCTGTAAATGAAAAGTCCAGTATAAGCTATTTAATTAAAGTTTTTAGAATATTTAGTGTTTACAGGACTATGCTGATCAATCCTTCTTCCTCAGAAAATCCTCTGCTGTATGCATTGCTTATTTATGCAATTAGTTATGCAGTTATCATTTTATATATATTTTTTCAGAGAAACTTCTAGAAAGACAATCAAAATTCATTCATGAAGTAAAACAGGGAGAAATTTTTGAAAAGCTTGCTGTAGGTGACTTAATATTTTCTTTTTCCTGTTTTACTTTTGTTTGCCAATTCCTACTGATCATATTTTAATGAAGAGTATAACAAGATTAATTGTTTAAGGTCTCACCTTTTCTCCCCTTATGATTTCACTCCCTTTTTCTTTCACATGTGGTGCTGGGCCTGGGGGGCCTGGGGGGCCCCTTACTCCTTGTTCTCCCTGTCAACACCAAAGCCAGAATAGTCCATTGAAAACAGTACTGACATTAAGAACTAAGACCAATAACATTAAAGAGAACTACCACTCGCTTTTAAAAATATAGCTAAATGTGTTTTTTTTAATTCTTAGTTCAGCAAAATCAGTCAGAGAAAGGGTTACATATGCAGTTATAGGAGACACAACTGTATAATGGGTGACAGACAGAGACTGCCCTGAAGAAAGATCTCTCTATCTCCTTTTAAGGTAAAGATTGATTAATAACGAGTATCAGGAACATATCCAATTAATTATTATAATAGTACAAAAGCTTTTTAGTGCCTCCGTTAGGATGAAAGAGGTCAGGTGCTGAAAGTCAATGACTGAAGAAAAATGTTAGTCGAAGCTTATAGTGTTCCATCAGTTTTACAAATGTCCATAAAGGCCAACTTGAAGATGGTAACTGTGGATCATACTTTTTTAGTATATATATGTCCATAGCAGGGTCAGAACCTCATCTCCTTATATAATGCAAAAAGCACTATCTTTTACTGTAAAAAGGCTTGATACACTTCTGTTAAGCAGTAATGCATAGCAATAGCATTTATTTTTTGCTGAAGACAAACCTGAGGAGTCCAGGAAATCTCCACATACTTTTATGGTCAACATTTTTCAAGAAAAGTTATTATAACAAGGTAATCTCACCAATGTGTCATACAGCAAAAAATTCTAACCATAAGGAATAGTGTGGCTCAAAATAAATAAGCTGGTGGATAAAAAACACACCACCTAAGTAACATAATTTACTTATATGCCAAGAGGCTTCTGTCAATGACACTCTTGAGAAGCTTCTGGAGAAGTGCTCAGACACATTATCAGTTTACCATATAACCCATGACCACATGCATTTCTTGGCTCCTGAAAATGCAACATATGGCACTTCAGCCTAGACCTCTCAGTGGCAGAGGTAACACATTAAACCTAAGATGTTTTACCTCCCATCTGAGGCTGGTTATGAGCATAAATGGGATCCTGGAGCCCATCTTTTGGCTTAGTTTCGTTCAAAAGTAAAACAGTCTGTGTGCTCTGAAAACTGCTTTTGGTTGAGTCAAAACACAGTAAAAGGGGACAACTGAAAGATCTGATTCAGAACTACATGCTACGAATCCAAACTAAGGCAGACAGGCCCTGAAGAGTGCTACCACAATTAATTCTGATAATTCTGGACAGCACATTAAATCTCATCCCTCAGAACTAAACCAATTTCAAATAAATCTCATGATGAGTCCTAATACATAGAGTAAATGTTTCCAGATCTGCCTATTGCAAACTAAAATAGTTGGTACTAGTCACAGCTGGAAAACAGGATAATGACCTAAATTAATGTCAGATATAACATCATCATGAACAAAGTCTGTAACTGTTCATGACTCTTGTTCATTTAGGTGTAAGTTACAGATTTAATCAAGTCTTCCAAAAATTACAATGCTAATTTACTCCATAGATTGATTCCAACATTTTATTTATTTAAAAAAAAGTATCAAGAGTATTTCTGACAGTTGTTCTCCAGAATTTTCAAAAGAGACTTACCTTTTCACCTTTGGGACCCTGAAAGCCCAAGCCCATGTAGCCCTGAGAATAAGAATTACACATACTTAGTCAATTTTTATCAGCAGTGCACACATGTATACATACACATATATGAAGGTATTTTGTACACAGCAAAAGCTAAGACAGGATATAAAAACCAGGATATGCCTTTTAAATGCACATGTGAAACAAATAAATAATAATGTCCTAACCCTCCCTGCTGTTTTCTTAAGTCATCATTTAGTAGAAGAAGATATAGAGAATGAAATTTATCAGATAATTTTATTGTCAGTATGCTCTTTTTTCCATCATTTTACTCAAAAATTTGACATTTTTAGATGAGTTCAAATAGTGACAAAATGTTGTAATTACTACTGATTTGTTCAAGTGAGACAACAGATCCAAACAAATTTGGTAAAAACCTAAAAAATGCATTCAAAATCTCTCTTTGTGATATCCATTAAGACATAAAAACAGGTCCCAAAGCATAAAAAACCCACTCTTTTAGGACCATTCGTTTCCAGCTTTTTGGAGAACTGGTGTGCCAAATAAATAAACAAATAGACTTACTCTATATAATAAAAGTCTTACCTTGTCGCCTGGGAGTCCTGGTGGCCCTGGGGGACCCTACAAGACAGTACCATTTTAGCATATATATGCATATAGTACACTGGTTAGAATAATGCTTTATTCTATAAAGATAGTAAAAATGTAAATCCATTAAATCAAGATGTAAAGTGTTTTTCTGCTACTGTCCATAACTCACAACAGAATAAATAATAAAAACAAACAGAATCTGTCTAAGATATCTCATCAGACCTTGTTTTGCAGTTAAGAGTGTTGAATCTAATCAGCATCTAGACAAGAGACAATCAAAAAAAAGTGTATGGTACTGCGCTGTAAAATAACTTTATGGCTGGGGGTTTTTTGGGGTTTTTTTTTTTTAGTTTTGCATGTTAAATATTAATCCTCACCTTTCTTTCATTAGAATTGTTATTTTTCACATCAGCAAGTGCAAATGCTGACTAAACTGTACTACCATTTTCCTTTACATCACGTTCAGTTTTCTTCAGAAAGGTAAGAAATCTCACACAGCTCACTTTAATAGCCAGAAACAGTGAGTGGACTTTTACCAGAAGGAAATAGCTGATCCCTGCTAGTGTTACCTGCATCCAGTACAGGAAGAGAAGATATTAGCTATCTGTTAGACCTGTCAAAACTTCAAATAGCTGAAATGCCTTTCAACATTTGGCAATTACCATAATAACAGACAGTTGATATCCTGATTTCCACAGTACTGCTTACTGTGGCTGCCCATAAGAACACCCTCAGTGAACATTTTGATTTAGATCTGGCTACTAGGTTTGTGGTTTATGTTCTGTAGATTAAGTGGGGGAAGAGGGAAAAGGAGGAATAACTATTGAAACCCGTCCCACACAAAAATAGCCTCCAAAGCTGCAAGAAGAGATGACTGTAGGAGCAGCTGCTATTGAAAACCTGTTACCTAGTCATTCCTGTCATGGTAGAGTCCAGGAGACTAGACATGAAGATAACTGGAACCACCAGTTATCTTTCCCAAATCCCAACAAGCACCAGCTATACACACCTTGTAGAATTTTCCTATAATAAAGCTCTATAAGTAAAGTGCAAATCACCATGAGAGGAAACTTACTGGCTCTCCTGGAGGTCCTTGTGGCCCCATTGGTCCCTGAAACCCTTGTGTTCCAGGTGGACCCTATGAAAAATTAAAATGGCACAATTAAAAAGTTTACTTATTTGGTAATTTCAAGATACTGATATAATTTTAATTGAAGCTCACTGCTACTGAAACATCATTTAGACTTACAGGTAGTCCAGGTTGGCCAGGAAAGCCTTTATCACCTTTTAGCACACTAGGAGGTAAAAGACCAATCACTTCACCTGGGTCTCCCTATAATAAGAAAAGAAAAAGAATAATACTTGAACATCCATTCAAATACATTCAAAAATGCTAATACTGAGATGAGAGGAAAGTTGGAGCTATGCCAAGTTCAGAACCATTTGGAAAGCTGACTTTAAAAAAGTCATCTTACTTTTAATTCAGATGAAACATAACAAGAGAAATTAAAAGTTAAGACCTTAATTGCCAAATGTCCTTTTCAAGCTCCCTGAAGAGATTCCAGTACCAAATCTTCCTTCATACTCTAATTTCCTATACTGTAATGGGTAATCAAAAAGATTTTCCCACCAAATCTATCACTACTACAGTGTCACCACACAGTTGAAGCATCTGACCTGGCTGCTGAGAGAAGTGACAACCTCACAATCTCTTTTCCAGGCTGAGATCTTCAGTCTTATACCTAATTTTGACACAAAGGCCATTTATGGCATCCTTTTTCTTCAAAAAAGGAATCCACTTTGTCTTACTTTAGAAAACTATTTGGATTGTTATCCATTTCTTTATGTCTCTTTTTTTGATAGCAAAAGATCCCATTTTTCCTGCATTTTTGTACAAAGTTGCAATATTTTAAGTGATTTTATTTCAGGAGTTGTGTTCCTATGCATACATGCCTAGGAAAGAAACATTCAAGTACTTCAGTGTTTATAGACTAAGTCAGTTCTTCCCATGTGAGAGAAAGAGAAAGGGGCATTTTAAAATTTCAGGTAGTCATGTCATTACAAATCTGAGATTACATTTAGACTTATATTTAGCTTACAGTTCCAAATTATATCTGTTCATTTTAAAGAGCAAAAGCTCTCTGTTGAAATTCAATATTTCATTTTCCAGCTCACAAAGTGCACACAGATACCTAGTTAGTTTAATTTTTTTTCTTTATGCAAACTGTTTAGTATGTGTTGGATGCTTCTCGTATTATGGGCTATATGACATTCTTCCACAAACATTATCTATTTGAAACTATTTAGATAAATGAAATGTCAATATCAAAACAAATGTTTGAACCATAAAATCTATCTATATCTTTATGCACAGTTGGGTGGCCACCATACTAATTATATACAATTAATGATATGTATTATTTTTTTCTGTTGTAATCCATGTAATACTTACACTTTAAGACCTGCATGGAACAACACGTAAGTTTAATTGTTATTAACTGGAGGCTGCCCCACTGTCTTTATTTAGTGAGACTGCAGAACAGTACAAAGTGAAACATTCAGTCCTTACATAAGGACTGCCAGTCTTAGAAGGCATAGAGTTCTTATTGTTAGAAGCAGGATATCAACACACTTAGGAGTAAAATGTACCTTCATTCCAGGAGGTCCTGGGGGTCCCTGTGGAAAAAGACATATTTCATGTTATTTTTCCTCAGTATTGTATATTTTACATCTTATACTCCATATAATTTCATATAGTTATATTTGCATTTCAAGAATCAGGGTTGAAACAAGTGAATCAAGCATGAAAGAATCTACTTACTATGCTCCCAGTCAGTCCTGGTAAACCTGGGGGACCTACTGGACCTCTTTCACCCTGAGAGGAACAGAGAAATTGGTTAGGGAACATACGCTTGAGGTATGTTTTTATTTCAACACAGAGATGCTGTTATAAACGTATGTAAATGTCACCTTTGTGCCATTACATCCTGGAATGCCAGGTGGACCAGGAGGGCCATCTTGTCCAGGAAT